GAAGCCTTCCTTCTTCTTCTTTATCTGCCATGAAAAAAGCTTGCATTTGAGACGACTCGAATTTTAGAAGAACAGTCCTCCATATCTAAGTCTTTGGAATACTTGCAAAGAAGTAATCACGTTCAACAGAAATTCGAAGCTATATGACCAAGAGGGTGCTCTTCAGTCTCCTCTCTCTGTCTCGTCGCTAAACTTCCGGTCGCAGCCGACCAAATGTGGGAAGGTGACGGTGAGTTGGCGACTGCTTACCTTTCCATTTTAATAATTTTGTTGGATTTTCACTTACTCGTATTTTTGTGTGCTCGGGTAAAAATGTTGAAGAGCATCTTGAGAGCGCTAGGAGGCAAAGATGAAATTCTTTATATCCTGTTATCGAAACTAAGACTGTCTTGCTCGCAATTAAAAAATTTCGCCATCTTTCTACCCTACTGAAAAGTTATCATATAAGCATATAATCAATCATTGCATTCATGTCATATACCTATCATTGTCCCTAATACCAAGCATGGTGCGATATCCCAACGTTTTTTGAAATAAACTAGTGTTTATAACATCTGCATTTTTTACATTATTCATTTCTAATCAGGATCGAAATACTAGGAATTGGTGATTGATTGTGACCTCTCGAACCATTAAAGTAGGCAACTGACCAAATGAACTGTTCTTGTATTTGTGCAATGGCTCACTACACACAGCTTAGGAAGGGATTGGCGTAGCTGCAAGCGATGGAATGTGTCTGCCGATGGGAAGTGGTCACAGGCCTAATGGTAATCTCAGGCATGCCACAATCTTTGGACAACTCCATTGGATTCGATCATATGGCAAATCCCTACCTCCTTCAGATAAGATGATGGCGTGGGTGGATAGATCCAATGTTTATAGTTTGATGATTTGCCATAGTACAATATATCGAAGTGACTACCTCATTAGCTTTGGAGGTCCAGGAGGTTATTGCATGGGATATAAAAACACGAAGAAGCTATCTTGAGCAATTCAAATAACAAATCTATCGATTTTCTATTTCACACCCTTTTGTTTGTAAGTAGTGATGTTCATTTTTGTTTCCTTCCTCTTGTTGTTGAGGTGGCAATTGCAAGTGATGCGACCTCATTGGTAATCATAATGCCACGTTTTTTCGACGGCTTCACGGGATTGTCAAATATAGTAAATGCCTACCAGCTCTTTCGTCCAAATCCAACATCTGTAGTTTGAAGATCACTATTCTAAACAATGACAAATGAGCTACATAAATTCATTATAGAGATCTGGCAAGTTGTTGCAGGGAATAGAATTCATAGAAAAAATGCTTACCTTAAACAATTTAGAAAGCAAAACTCTCTATTTTTCACTTTATCTGCTCCCTTTTACGATTAGTACTTCACATTTTCTTTTCCTTTCTTGAGATTGCCATTATTAGCGGTCAGGATTAATAAGAATAAACTTTAATGTAAAAATAAGCATGCTGGTATACATAAAATCATCTATAATGCATATAATGATTATATATGAGTGAAAAGATGGAAAGTGGCAAGACAATTTTTTTCAATTAAACACACGCAGGCGCACATATACCCACAATAATATAAGGAAAAAGCCACGCGCACGCCCGGTTTGCAGTTATTTGGAAAAAGGAAGCCTTCCTTCTTCTTCTTTATCTGCCGTGAAAAAAGCTTGCATTTTAGACGACTCGAATTTCAGAAGAACAGTCCTCCATATCTAAGTCTTTGGATTACTTGCAAAGAAGTAATCACGTTCAACAGAAATTCGAAGCTATATGACCAAGAGGGTGCTCTTCGGTCTCCTCTCTCTGTCTCGTCGCTAAACTTCCGGTCACGGCCGACCAAATGTGGGAAGGTGACGGTGAGTTGGCGACTGCTTACCTTTCCATTTTAATAATTTTGTTGGATTTTCACTTACTCGTATTTTTGTGTGCTCGGGTAAAAATGTTGAAGAGCATCTTGAGAGCGCTAGGAGGCAAAGATGAAATTCTTTATGTCCTGTTATCGAAAGTAAGACTGTCTTGCTCGCAATTGGACCTCATTGCTTACGTAGTAGCTTTTTTATGCTCGCAAAAACAGAGTGTATTTTATTTATAAACTTGTTTAACAAAGGTGCCTCCCGCCAAACTAAATAAGGCCTAACATATATATTTTGCAGTCCGAATGTAAACCCATGTTTGCCCAATTGTGTATCTTTGATACTGAGAATGAGGTTGCAAATGGAATACACTACTTGGGTTTTGATGTTGACCATTACATTGTCAGCTCCTTGGTTCAAATGTTTGATTGGACTAATGAAATTGTCAAGGCATTTAGGCTGGCTAGGATCGTTTTGCAGAAAATGATGTCATACCTGTTAGTTTAAGGATCATAGTAATTATAGTTTATGAATGACTCAACATTAGTGAGATGTCTCTTTCGTTCTCGTGCAGAAGATTTAATAGTTGTCTTTGCAGTTCACGTGGAGGAGATTTAATAGACGTCTCTTCAATTCACATGAAGGGGGTTTTTTGTCTTTAAGAAGACGCGTCTCTTCAGTTCTGGTAAGTTAGTGCTCTAAGTGTGCTGATTTCAAGAAGTGTTCGATAGAGTTATGTTCATATAGTGCTAATACAAACGGGTTGTAGGTGTTGTGTCTCGGAAGATATAGTTCACAAATCTGCAAAGCACCGTGGGCAGGAACTAATTGCCTTAAGGAGATTCGGTAATCCGTACATCACCTCATGTTTCATTCTTTTCCGATTTTATAGCATCTAGCAAGTCTATATTTGGTGTGTAATTCAGTCATCTTTTTTTGTTAAAATTATATAAACATTGGCTTGGTCGTTACTAAATTTCTGCTTACAACAAACAATATTGCACAAGGGAACAACAATCTTAAGACGATTATCCTTTACTGTTTATTGGATTTATCATAAATTCATAATGGCTGATAACAATGAAGTACCCAATGATTTTCAAAACATTTCTAGAAAGTTCCTATGGTCATTTCGACCGTTGCTCGTGGAGAGGTTTATACCTCGGAGCCTAGTGTTATGGCAACAAACGCTACAGGCCTTTGGCAGAAATCATCTATGGTGGTACACGTATAAATCAACAGGTTTTGCCTTCTTTTATGGCACCATCTCCAATTACACCGAATGAGAAACTAGAGAAATTCACCAGTGTGGGTTTTAAGCGGTGGTAGTAGAAAATGTTATTCTATCTGACCACGCTAAATCTAGTCAAGTACTTATCGAAGTGTTCCCGGTAATTACTTCAGATGAGAGAGATGTCACAACGCTCAGGGCGTTGGAGGCTTAGAAGCACGCGAACTTCCTTATGCCGAAACTATATCCTTAACTGATCTGCAATAGAGGGTAGGGGTGATCATGATTCTAGGGTAGAACCGAGCTGGGAACCGGTCCGGTTCCAGGTTCCAATACATCCCGGTCCGATTCTCGTTTCCATTTTTTAGGAACAAATATTAAAATATTATTTAAAATTGTCACGTTAGCGTCGGCTGTACCACCTAGGACAGCTAACGTCCATGACAGCGATTTCCGGCGAAAATTGGCCGGATGGACTCAATTGGCAAAACGTGAAAATGTTTATAACTCAATTGGCACAATAAAAGGTTTAAGGTTGATTGACAAAAGTGTAATAGATTTATGACTTTTTGAATAATTTTCCTATTTTAAATCCAAAACGTTTTCTAAACAAATACGACACCCTTATGATAACACCCAAGGGAGGGCCTTGTAAACAAGGAAAGGTCGTCTTCCGTTTGAGCAGAGTGGCCAAAAAGGGCTTTCTTTTCTTTGATAATTGGCTACCAAAGCAATGCCCAGCCCAACTGATCTTTGAAGTTTCTATACTATTTCCAAGCTCGGCCTTGTTAAGGTCAAATGGGGCCAAATTCATGTAAACACGGCGAAATCAGTCGCTCATAATGCTTTGTCCCACTAGAATTTGGTCAGTGTTTTCCAAATCCCTATCTAATTGTCATTCCTAATCAAGTCTCTTGCGGATACGAAAATGAAGATCTGTTCTTTTTTGGTTTAGCGGTCAAAGTGATGTCCCAGAAAACTTCCGTGCACCTCGACCGATCCGCCTCTCCGGTCAATCTTGAAGGCGCAATTCCCCACATTGGTACGGTGCACTTGGGACTTTTTTAATCCTGAAATGCTCGCAACGAGGCTCGAAACCGACACAACGAGAAGGATTAGCAAACTCCCTTCCCATTGAAGCTGATAAACTAGAACACGAGGCACATTTGGCCCCACGTTGGTTCAGCTATCTAAGTAACGATTGCTCGTAGGGGTACACACCAGCGTCCCTCAGGTAGGAAGACGGCATGTCATTTCTCCTATACCTGTGGGAGTCGGGTGTGACATTAGCTGCCACAACACGGGGAGTGACAACGCCCAAAACACAGCAAGTTTGGGTATAACTGAGGCATGGCTTGAGTGAGACACTGCTTGATTTTTATCTTCGTAGATTTCTAAAGGAATCCGTGCTGTCTCTCCCTGCAGAGTAGTCTGCATTGAATGCACCATACCGCCTAAATTTGCTTCCGTCCGTTCATTCACTGCTGTTTATTGCGACGGCTTGTGCATGTTTCCACTTCACGCTCTCTATATTTTCGTGACAGTTCTCTCGGTGGCATTAACAAAAGCCTTACAATATCTTATTATTATGCTTGTGTCCCGTCCACGTGTACTTAGCTCATGGAAGATTTTCCTTGGTAATGGCTACCGGAAGAAACTGTGTACACTCGGTATAAAAATACTGTGGTGTACAAAACTAATACTGAAACTTGATGTTGCTTAGTGGAAGTTAGTGTAGGCTTCACAGTTTGTGGATACGTTAATTAGCTCAATCAAGTAGGATGAGCCTGCACAATGCAACTCAAATGAGCATGAATCTAACTTCGCTTCATTAAGTTTATTGAATCAATTGTTGAAAGACATTTTACAGAAAATATCTACTTAGGTACTATTGCTTACTTCCGGTTTCAGATTTCAAAATGTACTGAATTTTTAGGGAAATCTATTTCCATGTTATACTTGATAGTACAGGAATCACCATTTTGAGTGCTATAAATCAGAATCACGCCATGTCCAAGAAAGGGGAAGGGGACAAAAGACTGAAGTAGTTAGTTGTTATCTTCCGTTGAAAATGCCACTAAAAACCTGGCTATTTCCACCCAAAGATGCTTCCCACTCTGTTGAGGACATCATGATTTGAGACAGTGTCACTACGATCTCCCGCATTTCCGGTCTGTCCACTGCGTCTTCGCTCAGACACCATTCTGCAATTTCTGCCATCTACATAATGCAGACAGATTTTCAGTCATTGACGTAGAAAGTGTTTGATGGAAATAGAGTTATGAATGAGATCGATTTGGATCAGGACACGAACCTTGTACATGTCCTCCATCGGATAGCTACCTCGAAGATTGCCATCCACCACAGCTTCTAGTGCTGCCTCCGGATCTTTGTGTCGGAAAATTTTATTCATCTGTCATGTTATGGAAGCAACACTAAGTTCTCTTGAAGCTTGACTCTGCATTTAACTTATATGCAGTTTTAGTTGAGTGAAGTTGGGAGCCATCTCGGTTAACTTACATCTTAAACTAATTAAACCTTATTCAGGTTGGTGGGAAATCGTTTTTTTTTTTTTGGTTGAATTGACTTTAATGTTTCTATTGTCCCATTCACTTGTGGAAGATTGATCAGAGATTGAAGTATAGATGAACTGACAACTGTGATTAACGATTTCAATTTGGTGGGCTCTTGGTTGTCGCGGATAAGCGCACGTTGGCCGGTTATTAGCTCCGCTAGAACCACTCCAAATGCAAAGACGTCAGCCTTTGGAGTCACCTGGAGCTCCTTCACAGATCTTTTGTTTTTTTTTTTGGGTAAAGAAAGTAAACTTGATCAGAGATGGTATGTGCAGATTTCAGACAAAAAGTAAACAAAAAAATTGTTATGAGCAAAAAAAGGAAGGAAAGCAAATTTCATTCTGACATAGTGAAGAGAAGATCGAGCAGCTTACTCAGGAGGAAGGTAGCCCGGCGTTCCTACTAGCCGCGTAGCTATGAGATCCTCTTCATTACTTCGACCAACAAGCTTTGCCAACCCGAAATCTGCTACCTGTTCAACATGGTAGCTTATAATACAGGGAAGTGGATTAAGTAAGTTATTTTGACATTTTTTAAGACTATCCGAGGTAGGTTTTATGGTTGTCAGGAGCAGGAACAGTGATGAAACGCCCTGGTAGGACTGCACTATTCATGCACATTCGTTATCAAGCTCTTGTTCAGAATTTCCAGCCCCATGAGCAGAAATGTTGCAGCTTCTGGTTTTCAGTCAATTTATAAAGGAGAATGCATTTCAGAAGTCAAAGAAGTTAATTCAAAACATTATGCTCATGGTTCTGAATTTTAAGCTAGCTTACAAGATGATGTAAGGAAGTGATGATAATTGTGATGGAAGGTGACGCTATTGGGTACAAACTCAATGCAGAGTCTCTGTATGTTTATCGGGATGATGGCTGTGTGAAGCTAGGAATTGAATAGTACCTTTGCTCGGAGCCCCTCATCAAGCAGAATATTGCTTGTCTTTATGTCACGGTGCACGTAACGATCCTTTGTGTGGTCGTGAATGTACTCGAGACCTTTGGCGGCATCCAATGCTATCTGCGTTCTTGCTGTCCAAGACAGGGGATGCCTACCTGGTTCAGGAGTGAACTTGGTGAGGAGGTCGCTATAAACTCGGGTTCTTGTTAGTAATAGTGTCGCTTTGAGATTCTTCTGTTGAAGTTTCTAATTTCGCCATACTAAAATTTGAGTATAAAATTTTGCAATTAGCTATCTTATGCGTGCACCAATCACTGTCGCCTTTTCTCTGTAGGGTTTACTTTCTCTATTTGTAGATTTGATCTTCATTTCATAGCACAATAATCAAATTCCTCAAATTACGCGCAATGAAACATAAGGTACATTTGTGCCTGATGTGTAGTTGGGCAAGCCACGGCACAAAGTTGACAAAATATACCTGACCTTGGAGATTTCTTAGAGGTAGCAGAAGACATGAAGTTGTACGATGTAAAGAGAACGGATATAGTGAAGGTAAGACTATTAAACTTCCTCAAGTGATATCTCTGCATATATCAAGTTCCACAAAAGACAACAAATATCAACTGCGAAGCTCAAAGACAGAATGAACTGAAATTTCCATGCCTTTAAGCAAAGGATCGTGCAGGTGATCGCTGAGCGACCCGTTCCGAACATACTCATAAACCAAGTAGAGGTGGTCTTCTCCACTCGCATATCCCAGCAGCTCCACCTAAAAAGCAAAACACCGGATGGTCATTCTCCTGACGGGTTCGTGTATACTCTTGGAGTAGGATTAAAACTTCAGACATTTTTGGCGGGCAAAAGAACACTACAAGTGCCATAACTTATGTACGGCGCTCACTTTGGTGCCATAAGTTTTTTTTGGATCACTTTAGTGCTAAAATTTTTGAAAAACGATCACTTAAGTGCTAAAATTTTTGAAAAACGATCACTTAAGTGCCAACTCCGGTGCCGTACACAATTTTTGCGGAAATCCGACGTGGCATTTTTTTATTAATTTCTGAAGCTGACGTGGCTCGCCGGAGATTGGCACTTAAGTGATCGTTTTTCAAAATTTTAGCACTTAAATGATCGTTTTTAAAAAATTTAGCACTTAAGTGATCGTTTTTCAAAATTTTAGCACTGAAGTGATCCAAAAAAACTTATGACACTTAAGTGATCGTTTTCCTCCGACTTGGCACCAAAGTGATCCGAAAAAAAAAGTTATGGCACCAAAGTGATCTCCGTACACAAGTTATGGCACTTATAGTGTCCTTTTGCCATTTTTGGCGCTTACCACATTGATGTGGTGGATCTTGCACAAGACCTTGAGCTCTGCGAAGAACTCCTTGGACTTGCTAGATCTCATCTTCTTTATGGCCACCTCCTGAATTATTGCCAAACCGACACATTCGTGAAAATTGTTTGAAAAAAAGAATCTTCTGAATGGGCACGAAAAGAGGGGAGAGAGGGGAAATAGACTGGGTACCTGTTCACCTAATACTCCAAAGTACACGCTCCCGTATCCACCCTCTCCGATCTTCTTCGTCTCATCGAAGTTACTAGTAGCGAACTCAATGTCCTCAAGGCTGTATATCAGAGGCCTTTCTGATTCAAAAATCGGGAAGTCTGTACATGAAAATTCAGTATGAGCGGCTTCGGTCAGCGGAAAGAAGAAAAAGTTACTATATCAAAACTCGCCATCATTTTCATATCTAACCTTCCTTGTTTTCCTTATGCAGATACTGGTTATGAAAGGAGTAGGCCTTGTTAGCGCTCAAGGTTTTGGATACAGCTTTTGGGTCTTCCTCGGCATCTTGGCATGACAGTCTTCTTCCGAGAATGATGATCAATGCTAGCACTGAAATCAGCAGGACAGCCGATAATGTGCCGACGACTATGGTCCACTTGTGCTTTATCCCTAATATTGAATAGAGAAACGATTATCATCAATATCATATGAAATTAATTTCTTAGTGTTCATTCACTTCCTGCAACAATGAACATATCAAATTCTCGTCCTTCTATGCAAAATGAAATGATATCAGGTAAACTTTGAAACAAAACCCATTTAACAGGCACGAAGTTAAGATGGTCGGGGCCAATCTGTCGGAACTAGAAGACATCGATCAGTAAGGTGAATAAGATATGAAGGAACTTTAAACTATGCGGGCAATTTAGACATTTGTATCTTTTATTAAGGAAGAAAAGAAGGCGTGTTGAGGTTCCTTGACGACTACGCAAGTTCAAATCACAAAGAAAGCAGACGAGACGAGCGAGACATGGCTGAGAAAGAAGCAACAAGCCAAAATTTATCTATATTCTCTGAATTCGCGGAATCATGGAATCACCATGCCTTGAAGCAAAGTTAGCGCTTCAGACCTTTCTTAGGGGATGGGATTCCGTTGTTCTCCATCGGCACGAACACCACCCAACCCACGCCTATGGAGTTGGAGTTCTGTATCAGATTGGGGTTCATGTTCTCGATGCTGCTCAGTTCAGCAGATAACAGGTTGGCAATATCAGTCAGCGTGTCGTGCTGCTGAACCGTGTATGTCACCACGGTCTGAGAGTCACTCTTTGCGCACCCGCATAGAAGATACATGGGGACCGTGGCGCTCACTTTGAACCTCTTCTCTTCATCTTCAAGGCTCCAAGCTTGCCCGCTGTAGACCTTCGCCGAGACGTTGACGAAGATGTCGTTTAGTTCAACCTTGTAGGACACGTTGTAGAAGTAGCCGGTGGTGTCCCCGGTGCTCTGGCAAGAGCACGGCACACTGATGAGGTAGTCTTGCCGGTCCGCGTGCTTGATGGGTTTGATCTGGGAGGGGCTCACTGAGTAGTAGGCAGCGATTCGATCCTCCTGGAGGCCACTGTCGTAATGGTACAGAGAGGCATTGCAGGTTGTGATCTGGTCAAAGCATTTGAAAGGGTACATTTCGGTGTCTTTGGTGAACACGTGGTTGGCCAAAGCCATTGCCGCCGAACAGGCCAGAAGAATCAGAAGACCGGGAAGAAGATTGCCGAGAGCCATCGGTGGTGATGAGGCACGATTCAGTCTTCTTGCGAAAGAACAATTAAGATGGGAAGAACAACGAATGTCTGCTTCTTGTCATTACATGTCCGGCAAGCCCCTCAAAGGAGCAAAACATTTGCCCATGATGGTTGGTATGGAGATTGGAAAGCACCCACTTTCTTGTTATAGGCTCTATCAGCATATGAGAGGGAAGAAGATGTTGCTATGTGGGATTGATTTGAAAGTTTTGTAGATAACAATGTTGTTTGGCTCGCCTCATCGCAGTCCTCAAAGAGTCTTTTTGTATGCTACATCCTAAATAAAAATAGAGTTTTTTCCCGTCGATGCTTACAACTTGCTGATGAACACAACACATTGGCAGCTGATGTTTTTCAATTCAGGAACAGTTTGGATTTTGCTGGTCCTGGTGGAGGCATGCCTTTTCTTTTCAGCAACAGCTGGAATGACTTTGTGCTGTGAATGTGGTGAAAATCGCCACACACCGATTGGCTGTGTTGCGTTCTCTCCTCGGACAACTTACTATAGATTCGATTCGAAACGCTATTCGTATGGTATATGCATGATGCATGTGAACTGCGATCCACAATTCTCCATGTGTTATACACATGACTTATACGAAGTGAGTTATCGCCGATACTACTGTACATTTATCATCGAAGGGATAAGCTGCAGATTTCGCGTTCTTGCGCATTCATTTCGTAAGATACCTATCACATATACTGGTTTCTATAAGCTATTCTTTTTCTCAAACCTGAATCTTATCAGGCCGTACCAAAATATGCTGCTATTAACTGGTTTCTCTCGAGTTATTTGACGAGATTACTCAGGAAAAAAAACAACCTTGGATACAATATAACTCGAGCATTCGTACATGACAGACTGTCAAGTCGAGTCATCGGTTGTCTAGGGACAAAAAACACTGAGGAATCTCGACCTTCGATTGGGTACTTATTTTTTGCTATTATGAACTCGAGTTCTATCTCCCGATTATCGACCTAGTTCTACAAGTTTGAGGGAATTTCCTCGCGGCAGTGTTGTCTGGCTTCTCAATAGTGACTAAAGGAATCATTCCCCGCCGCCCCCATGAACCGGATCGAAGTCCTCCAAGTTCGAGGGACCAAGTTCAATGACGAGACACCTCGAAAAAAGCAGCTAGCCTTCGATGATCTGGATAGTCGACATGGCCCTGGAAAGCTCCTCCATTGTTGTTAGGATCTAGGGGTTGAGGATTTATTTTTTTTTGTGCGTTTCGCTTTTATTTGTGATTTGTCACTTTTAATTTCGAAAGCGAAATGACAGAGATTTCTTCATTTCGCGTAGCCGGCTGAGAGAACCTTGTATCCCATTTGAGGCAAAAAGTTGTTCGAGTGATCTTGTTTTGAGAGAGATTATTATAGAATTGGCATCTGTTGGAAACCGGCAAATTATGGAGGATAGTCGCTGTCTTGTTGTGACATGGATTTCGCATCATCCATCCAAGAAGTGCCAAAAGTTTTGCACGAACTTACTGACGTTCTTGTTTTACTGGGCTTGGTGCGATGTGAATCCTACCAAAGACTTGACATTTATATTTTAATTTTTGGTGCGAGATCCACCCTTTCAGAAGATTTTCAATTTATATACTATCAAAATATAAAGTTGTTGCGAAAATACACCTTAATCGGGACTCGCTGGACTATGCTTTCGTGACTCAAATGATGATTCGTCGACTCCATTAGAATTTGTTTATGAGTTAAACGTTCTTGATAGGAGGAAGATGCTCCAGAACGAGGAAAGAAATCCTAGGAGGATGCTAACAAGGAGTGAAGCTCATTGTGCTTTGTACGCGCGCAGACATGAGTTTCATTATTGTATCGCAAATTCGGGGCCGCCATCGCAGATCTGTGATGTCACGTCCCGTTGACGAAAACGGGAAACATATTAGAAACATCAAGATGCAATAGAGAGCAAACTGACCCAGTGTAGTTGGACCGGTTTTATGAGAAACTTGTACATCAGAAAACGCTTACCCTAGAGAAAGAAGAATGGCTGTTGCCTAAGTAGCTGATTCAGCAAAACCATTGGCTGATTCAACAAACTACCATGATTTAGCAAATAAGGTTAAGAAACAAAATGAAGTCGGAATCATAAATGGGAAAATAAAATGAACAAATCTGGAAGACTTGGCCAAAGGGATTTCTGTTACATGAATGAATCGAAAGAAAATTTTCCACCAACACGAAATTACTGTAGCAAAGTGGGCATTCCAATGTGTAATCGTGGTTTGTAATCTGTTCAAATGCAGAGCTATGACTAAATATCGATGTTAATAACGGATTCAAAAAATAAGAATGAGACATCATCATCGTATTGTTCCCCAGACAGGCGGATGCGACGCCAAAGTCTAAGAGCAGAACGGACAAAATGCACAACGCCGAGGAGAAAAGCCAAGTCAAGCATTAACCAAAGCTCACTATACTTGGGGCTTTCAGCAGGCAGTCCTTGTGGCATGCTGAAATCGCCCAATATAATTCCAACCAGTAACCAGGGGAACCGGAGTTTACGTAAGAAACAATTTGCCCCTGAATGACTTTGAATATCTCCAGGTGTTTTACAGCATTATACTGCAAAAAGGAATCGCTGAAAAAATGGAAATGAGACGTACACTCTAGAGGGTTAACTGCTAGGTTCAAGACCCACCATGGCGGCCAAGGTATCAGATGCCTCGCTAAGGATATCAACAGCCGTGACAATCGCGATGAGAAATCACACTCCAATTTCATTGATGACGCTGTCCACTCTAATCAACATCTCTGATGAAAACATAAGAGAGCTATACAGATCAGTATAATCTTTAAAGTTTAAACGCAAAGAACCACATGCAATTTTCTCTGTCTCCAGTGCAGGCTATCAGCAGCTATTTGAAAGGGGAAATTGAATATGATAAAAAGAAGAAGCTGCTGAAATGAGGAACTAATGTCCTCTTGATAACATCTTTTTATTATTTTGAGTTAATTTTAATCTTATCTTTTGCTTTTTCCGATTGTTTTTGGCAAGAAGTCAAAAGAGCTACGCACGGCAGGCTGTATAAGCCAGCAACTAGCAGTGCATGAGATAGATTTGAAAAATTATTTACCTTGGAATTCAGAATCTTCCATGTATTTCTGTGACAGAAGAACCCATTAATCAATGATTGATAACTTAACCTTGTAAAGAGATAACATCCGTGCAGTATTCAGTCAGACAAAGTATTACCATGATCTGAGATTTGATGTCGACTACTTCAGGTATAGTTGATTGTGCCGTAGCTACATTATTCAATACAGTAAATCAATTAAAGTCTTCCAAAGAGAGAATACTTCTATCTTTAAGAGAGAGCAGTCAGTTCACCTTGTTCACGGTCAACGCAACAACTATTCAGAAATGATGTGAAGCTTGGAGGAAAGGATGCAAGGCCATTATCGGCATCACGATCATAAGCAGTTTCCTTGTTTGAAGAGAGCTGTTGAGACTCGTTCTCCAAGATCAATAAGTTTCCAGGATTCTGAATGCCAATGCAAGAAACAGTATCGTTTTCCTCCTGAACTCTGAGAACTCAACAAGACAAGTTCATTGTTAAAAGTAGATCAACCACGACGACATAATTTATCAACTGTAGCAAAGACAGACATGAAGTATGTCAGGAACTAGGACCCATTCCACCTGTATGGAGAATAGGATGTGAACTCAGACTGCGCAGATATTTGAGATGCCATGTGAGTATTTTGCAGTTCAATTTCAGTGGCATCTTTCAAGATCTCCTGCGTGTATAGCAATTGAATGCAGTCATTTTAATACAGTGGGTGATGCAATAAGAAATTGTTAACTGCACGATAAATATTTCAAGTCCCTCAATGAGAATATTACCTTTAAAGAATTTGTGAATGAATCAGTTTCATAAGTAGTTGAAAATCTCAAGGCAAATTTCTGGATCTGCAAATAAACTGACAAGTCCATCATGCACTATTGGACACGAACCACCAAAACATGTGTTAATACAATGTGTGAACAATATTCTACATTTGGATTATCCTATTACTAGGTGGAGGACGGTACACAGAGTTCAGACAAGTATAACACTGGAAAATTGAGGTGAGAAATCTTTTTGACATTGAAAAATCTTTATTCATGCCAATTTTTCAATAGTTCTGCGACTGTCGAAAAATTCATAGGAAATGAAAAGGAATATGGAAAAAAATTTTGACCTTTACACGTCGTGGCTGGAAAAAAGCAAAACATCTGTCGTTTTTTTAAATGCCTTTTTCCATTATCACTTAAGTTTTTTTTTTTTTGGTCAGACATTATCACTTAAGTCGACATGTCCATTAATGTGTTGATTCATACATCAGGTAAGCAGAGCATAACTCACTCCACTAGAAATTTCCATCAATGAAATATGTATATCTCCAGGAAAATCAATAGAATGCACGATGAAATAATCATTGCCGTCTGATCCAATAATGTATGACAGGTTCAGGTTTAAATGAGGAACTGGATGACATGATTCAGATATTCAACGACTAAAGAAGTAATATATTCTAGTTTGAATAGGCCTTGAAGAAAGAAGGCTTGCTGGAATGCTCCAGTATTATCTTTACTAGATGCAATAGAGTGAATGGAAGGAAAGAACAGCTATCGAAAGTTATAGAGCAAACCCTACCACGGCTAAAAGGGAGCCAGGGTTTGTGTCACTAGCACAAAGCAAGAGAAGGCAAGGTGCCCAGGTCATAATGAGAGAAAGAAGTTTCCTGTTCTTTCTCACTGTTCTTCTGCTAGATAATGGTCCTCCTCGCTGCTGTTATTCGGAAAGGACAGATCTAAATCTCATCTAGAGGAACTAACAAACTCCTTAGTATTCAAGACGAGCAAGTATCGATTACCCTAAAACCAAACTTCCAAATCAAGCACAAAAACCTCATTTTTCGCTTTAGGACAAACGCCATGTCACACAACCAATTGAAACCAACAGATTCAATGCTTGCCTCATTCCTGCAATCCCTGTAGCTCACAAGGACAGCTCTGCTAGCCATTGCCGGAAATTCAGGCATGAATGACAACTGCGGCCTGAAGAACTGCAATTTGGAAACGAAATGCTGCTCCTGAGACAGTTTAAGACTCTTAATCAGGATGAATTGTAGTCTTATAGAGAGAGACATCATGTACGGACTACCCCATTCCGTAATTTACCACGAAGTTCATGAGGAGTGGAGAACTGAAGAACCTAAATTTAAAAGTATGCCTTGTCAAAGAAGAAATAAGAGCTTCCAAAAATGTAGGCTCACGCCCGCGATGTATCCAAACACTTAAATCCACTGCTCACATATATCCTTGGTACCTTAATGATTGAAGTTCATGCATCTGATCATCGATCTCTATATTCCGAGAAATAAGAATTATCTTGCTTAGATCCAACTCCTAGTTCAGCCGTATCCAACTCATTTTCAGACCGAATGGAACCGGCACCAAAAAAAACCATCTCAAAGTTTATTCACAGAAATCGGTTTGGTCATGAAAGCGTCAGAGAAAGCACAAATCTCCGACGCAATACACACGGAAAACAGAGGAAAGTCACGGAAGCACTCTTACTGTCTCACGCCGCAATTGACGCGAAAACTACTTGGAGATACACAACCGAACGCATAATGCTCCGTATATCGAGCATTGTGAAACGCTAATCACTTTGATTTCGACATCAGAGAAGAACATTTCAGTGACGAGCTCGACGACGAGAGTGAAGACAACGTATCGAAAGAGGAGGAATCAGAAGACGAGGGAGACCGCGACTCACGAGCAACTTCCCGCCCAAGCAGACGGTGATGATCGCGGCCGGACCGGGGTGAAGCAGCAGCGAAGCCTTGGAGGAGGACGAGAGCCAGGTCCCGCCGGAGGGGCAGAGGCGACGGCGGTCGGAGTCGCGGAGAGGGGCGAGCGAGGGGCACGCGGACGGGCGGGAAGCGAGGGGGAAGAACCGAGAGAAGCGTACCTCCCAGTGGCCTCCGGTGGAGGCGACGGCGGAGCTCTCCGGCAGCCGCTCGCCGGCGACGACCGCCAGGGCCCCCGCCATTTTCGACGCGGTTTGGGAAGGGACGTTTTTCTGAGAGGTTTTTGAAAAAAGGAGATGGGAGTGAAATGAAAAGGGCGGAGCGAGAAAAGAGAAAACGGTTATACAGGTTTGTGGGCCATGGCCCAAGGCCATAGGCGGGCCCACTCTTTTATAGCCGTTCGGCCCAATAAGAAGCTCATTAGAAAAATGTAACATTTCGGACTAGACTGACGTGAAGAAAGGTTTAAAGACTCAATTGGCAAATCGTCAAAAGATTTAGGACTAAATTGGCGCAATCGAAAGATTTTATAACTAAATTGGCCTCCGCACAATAGGTTTAAGACTTTTTGAACAATTGTTCCCCAAGATAAATGTACTGCTAGGTTTACAAAACGAGACGAGCAACTCATAGACATTCCTATTAAATTCAAATTGAGTTCGAGTGTAACTCAAATCTTAGAGTAAGACGAGTTCAAGTTCGATAGTGCTCGATTTGTGCTGCTCATATGGTCTCTTAGAACTTGGAGAATGGTTTCCAAGGTCCCAAGACAATGAGGGCAAGAACAATTCGTTGCAAATTTGCCGATGAAATCTCCCTACATTAGTCAGTAAGTAGCCTTTGTTGGGAAGCTAACCAGAGGAAGCCACGAATATGTCGCGGGTCGTGTTCACCAGCGTCTCGAGATACTTGCGAACTATGCTCGATTAAGAAGATGTTCGATTTTCAAATTATTTAATAACGTTGCACATGGAACAATGCTACATATACTATAAGACTCGTATAAAGAGAGAGTTTAGAGTTGATTGCCTTGGATTGCGAAAAGATTTTTGGGTTCCAGAGAAACCTTGTACAAGGTTGGGCTAACCTTGCACGAGGTTGGATTGGCCTTGTACAAGGGCCAAGGCTTGGGGCCAAACACGCAACATATGGGCCGAACGTTCACCGGGCGGATGGGCTGTTGTTCAAGGATGGAGAAAATTGGGCCGGGCTAGACGGGCCTCGTGCAAGAGAAGTTGCGCTTTGGGCCACGCCGGGCACACCCGGCCCAAGCCTGGCCCGGATTTGGGCCGCACAAGCTCGGCTTTGAATACTGCCGGGCCTGCTCGGCCCATATTTCGGTGGCCCTAGGAGGAGACCACAACGTAGCCCTTCCCACGCGATCGAACAAACTCAAATTTGACCAAACTCTGAGCGAACATAATTTGACCATTCGAACATCCGGTAGACCCAACTTTTGCATCCCTAGATGGCTCTCGACCATAAATTTTTCGAAAATGCTCATTGACTTTTTGGGTAGCATTGGGATCGCAAATTTTTTCAAAATCAGCCCCGATTAGGTGGCAAATGGTCATGGTGAAAAGTAACAATAAAATATGATCGAAGAGATTTTTGCAGATCGGAAACCTGGTGAAATTGATCATTAAAATAGGAATAATCAATCGGGCTAAACTGAAAAAATTTCCCGAGACCTCACGAATGAACGGCCGTGATTAAGAGTTAAAATAACTTTCGACATCCAGCCGCCCGATCGAGGGAAATTGGGGTACAACTGAAAAGCTCTCGACGAGCACAAGCCAGCTCTTAACGTTAAAAGTGAAGCTCGAAAAAAGGCCAAAAAGGTTATGCGCAAGAAGACGGGAGTAGGATCCCCTGCTCCACCAAGTACAGCGTGCACTTCGGCGCAACCAATCCCAATCCGCCACCTGGCCCATCGGTCCGGTCAACGGACGACGCTTCGCGAAATGTAGGACCCACCACAGCCCCCGGCTCGAAAACGTTTCGCGACATCAAACGGTCCTCACCAACCTTGACTTCTCCTCTCTTCCTCCTTCCTCAACGGTCGATCCAAAGCAAATTCTCCGGCGACCACCGCCAAAAAGCCCAGAGCCGCCATGAGAGCTCTCCTCAGCCCCCAGCTCTCCCTCTCCTCGTCCTCTCCGGCCGCCGGCGGCGGCGGCTCGCGTCGCCCCACCCCGGTGGCTGCCTCCGCCGCGTTCCCCGCCGTTGACCGCCGCCGCCGCTGGTGGCGGGGATCGCCGCCCCGCTCGGTGACCGTGGGCGCCGCGGCGGACTCGGCGACGATCGGTCACCTGGAGCTCCCGGATTCGGAGGCCCGGAACCCTTCCCTCTCCCCGTCGTATCGGGGCGCGAGGCTTCGGAAGCCGAACCAGACGGTGCTCGAGGCTCAAGCGAGGGTTTGCACCGGCCCGACGCAGACCAGGCCGTTGAGCGAGGACCAGGCCTTTAAGGTTCTGGATACGATACTGAGATCAGGTCAGCGCCGCTCCCGCATTCGCGGCGATTTTCCACGATGAATTCGCGTTGCTCGTCATTTGCGTCGGGACATGCATTTTCCGAGTTTGGTTTGGTCTACGACCTCTTGCATGATCGTGAAGTCCTTATGCGTTGCTTTTGATGATTGGAGTGTTCTTAACGATGGTACTCCTTGCCCACTTCTCCGTACAAATCCCCGATGAATGCGATTAAGCTGTCTGAATGAATCGTGGGTATCTGGGCTATGGCCTCATGTTAGTACTTTCAGTTTGAATTTATAAGAACTGTAGGTTGGTAATGTCTCTCCTGGAGCTGCTCAAGAGTCTAGACTAGATGCAGATTTTTTTGTCTTTTCTTAACTCATCCTGAAGTGACTGGCTTCTTTCACTGAGTTAGCCATATTTTAGGTGATCTTCATGTTTCGTTCGAGATTATTGAGAAGTGTCATACTTAGTTCTGAGTAAGGCAAAGAATTTCAGGGAGGTGCTCAAATCAGTCTTGTCTCTTTTAACCTAAGTCAATGTACGTTTTACTAGCCAGCGCCAGGCCTGCAGGCTGGTTACTTGCCCCTGGAGTGGAAGCTGGTTTTCTATGACTTCTACGTTTTGCAGCTGATTTCCCTTTTGCTATCTCTTGGCCTCCATGTGTTTTTTGAAACAAGATTCTCAATGTCAGATTTTTAACTCCTCAAAAGCCTGTCATGATCTTGGGATGGTGAGTTTTCATGCCTATCATTATTCATTAGTGCATGTTCTCTTGGTTTAGAAGACCATTAGTGATCGTTGCTTTATCATCATGTCACATAAAAGAGGAAAATGGTTCGTATTCTATGTGGAGAAATCTGCTACGATTTCAAGGAGACTTACTTTTATATAAATTACATATCATCACCTGTAGCTGCTTATTGTCGCTTTGTCATGCATTTCCAGCCAAAGGAGAACTTAAAAATGAAGAACAAGTGTCCAAAGCACAGATGGGGGCATTCTTTGCAGCTATGACGATACGTGCCAATTCATTTCCTGACGCAACCCAGTGGAGTGAAGGGGAAAAGCGTGCAATGAACACATTCTGGCCAATGCTAGTTCGAGTGCTGCCTCCTGATCTGATCTTTATAGCAGATCCTGAAGGTTCTATACTGGGAGTAGGAAGTTCAATTGGACCCCACTACACTGGCAATGATACTACTGAAATGAGATTGGTTGGTGCTCTCAGAGAAATCTTGGCAGGGGGGCATCTTGGATATGAGGAAGTCCAAGGTGTTCTAAAAGATGTTCTTCCCCTAAAAATAAAAGATAGCTTATCTGAAGGAGTAAGTGAGTCCTTGCTTTCGGCATTTTTAATAGGTCAACGTATGAACAGAGAAACAGATCGTGAGTTAAAAGCATACTGCCTTGCATTTGATGATGAACTTGGTACATGATCTAGTTTGATTATCAATTATCAATTGTTGGAACAATACTAGTCAGATGTTTCCAATTGGTGTTCTTGGTTTGTAATGGTTAATGCATTCAATTATACTGGGCAGGTCCTCCTCCTGTTGCTGATATAAGATCTTTGACTCATTATGGTGAACCTTATGACGGAAACACGCGTTACTTTAGGAGCACACTGTTCGTGGCTGCTGTTAGATCGTGTTATGGTGAATCTTGCTTGCTTCATGGTGTAGAATGGATGCCACCTAAGGTTGGTTTCCTGTACAAGTATTTTCGTCACCTATGTCTCGGAATCTGCTTTTGTGAAAGTTGAATACTAATTGTAAAGCTGATATTGCCATCAGTGGAAGTCTGTGATCAAAGAATTTACTTGAAGGTTGCTTTGAAATTAAAAAGCAGCATGATAATAACGTTCTGACAAGAGCCCTTATTCTGGAACATAGACTCCTAGCTAGATTTTTTAAATTATTGCAGTGCATTTTTTTGGATGTCTTGTACTTTTGTTTGTGATGTTGTTCGCCTTTCTTACTGCTTGGGATCACTCAAAGTTCTTTGCATATGAAGGGAGGAATAACGGAAGAGCAAATGCTGAAGTACATGGGTGCAAATACAAGTGTATCCACTTTGCAGGCAAAAGCACTTCTAGAGGTAACTGTTATTCTTAGACTGTCACTGCAGAATCTTTACTATGTCTTTGCTTATTCTTCCGTTTAAGTAAACCTCATGTTATGAATTTTCAGGATGAGGAGGCTGGTTTCGCATACATTAGTCTACGTGAAGCTCGGCCATCTCTGTATGTTTTACAGTACCTTCTTTTACTGTAGTCATTCTTAAGGAGAACTTACCTATTATAGGGTTGGTGATTCAGAATGTTGGTGAGGTTCACATACCTCATGGTTCTTAGGATTTTCTTTTCTTTTCACACCGGCGCTATTATAGGGGCTTTGCATTCTTGTTCCCTTAATTGAATGGCTTGATGTCCACCAGTTTATGAGCACCAATATGTTATGCATATTGTAGTTTCTAACGTCCAAGTGAATGGTTGTGAACTTGTGATTCATCTGTACTACATGGACAAGGTAGGAAGAAGCGTGACCAGACGCAAGTTTCATTTGTTACGTCCAAGTGAATGGTTGTGAACTTGTGATCCATCTATACTACATGGACAGGGTAGGAAGAAGCATGCTCTGCCTTTTTCGCTTACATGTCAATGGTCTGCCTTTTTCGCTTCTAAGCTGTATAACTTGCATTATTCCTTGTACAAAAAAATGTGATCTGATACTTTTATGTAGTTCACTTACACCGGAAATATACTCTGACTTCTATATCTTTGAGCTGTAGATATTCATTAATTGGTTTGAGAGAGCATATAAAAAAGCGCCCCCCACTTGCCACAAGTGAGAAGATCCAGCAATTTGTGAGGGTAAGCACTAAGCGTCGTTAAATGAGCTTGTGGTGTCCTGTTTGCGGTTTTGAGTTCTCAAATAACATTTTAAGCAAAAGAAAAATCCTTTATCCACTTCAATGGTCCAGAGCTCGTATGGATGCTTTGAGATGCTTATTAAAATATATAGGAGAAGTCATTTTGGTATTCTCGCAGGAATTCCTAGTATGTGCTACTTGTGCATCAGCATAGATATATTTCATCAACTACCTTACTTTTAGCAAATCTTTTTATTCAAGATTACTGGTCGGAAAGCACTAAATATTTCCTTCTTACAGGCTACTGGAAGGGAAGCAATTGTTGCTGGTTTCTATCATGAAGGTTATGAAGAGCCTTTGCTGATGCTTATGAAGAGAAGAGGCGTTCATTCTGGCTTGGTGGTCAAGGTTGGGGACTTCTGCAGCTTTTGGCTCACATTAGTAGTAGAGTTTTCTTTCTGATGAGAATAAGATAGTGGATGATGCCAGTCATGAGTTAGTTCTTTCTTTATCGTTCTTAAGGGTGTCTGAAGGTCACCTATCTCATCAACCTGAGTTATGAAAGTAGGGTTTTGTATGTGCTCTTTTGTAGGGTGAGGAAGGAGCGCTTTCCATGACAACAAGATTGCGATCAGCTAGTGTGTCAAAAGGGCTTCCTGTGAACTATTGTTCAGGGTTTCGTTCATTGAGCACAGCTTCTGCTCTTGAAGTTGATGGTCTGTTCCTTTTCAGTGGCCTCATTAGACTTGCCTCTTTTCTAGTGGTTCCATCATTGTCTTTTAGATTTGGGAGCTGTCTCAAATTTTTAATTAACAAGATTTTATGTTCTCACTTAAGTGCTAACTCTTGGGCCAATTATTTTGGCAGGGGTGTCACGGCAGAGCTTTAGTCTTGAGGTTAATGCTAAGGATCATGGTTTTGAGCCCTCTAATACCCCAAGAACTGACAGATCGGTAATCTTTCTGAATCTTTTGTTATACTGAGTTCTATTTTGGTAAATGGTTATGCATGTTTATCATGAAGATCAATAGCAAATTATGATGGATATTGTTATTTAGTTTTCCTTTCTCTCTGAGGTAGCAATCTCTCGACCACGAAGTTATTTCTGGAATTTGTTTTATATTGAGGGTCCCTCTTGTCGACATAACTCATTTTTTGCCAACTAAATACATAATTCATTTGGTATGCAAATTCTTGTTGATGTGACATTTATGTTGGTCTCTGAAATAGTGATGTCACGTGAACTTCTTGATTTATGGGGCTTGTGAATGCAGATCTCAAAGAATATAGAGTTGGGTTTAGCAGCTCTTCATGGAGAAAAAGGACCCGCGTATGATCGAATCGTCTTGAATGCTGGAATGGTCGATCACTTGCTTGGATGTGAGGGCGCAGAAGACATCTCTGTGGCCCTGGAAAGAGCCAGAGAGGCCATCGACAGTGGCAAGGCTCTGAAACGACTCCTAAACTACATCAAAATCTCCCACAAAGTGTAGTAAGAAGGAAGCGGTCGCACACTCTCTTTTGTTGCATTTACTTTATACATCGGCCTTACGCCATCCATTGTGAAATTGCAAAAAAGATAAAGTCAATGTCGTTCAGGTTTCATTTTCTTCTCTTTCTGCTCAATGCTTCTTGAGATGTCGAAGCATATGAATAAGATGCCATTTTTGTATGATCAGAACTACTGGGAAAATTTCGCAGTTACAGAAGAGAAAATGTTAAGCGGATGTTAAGCGGTTGTACGATGGCTTCCAGCGTGCAAAATGTGTGAAGAAATTTTATACACTTCTAGTGAGTCGATTAAGCTGATATTTCTGGCCCTTTTAAGACAAGGGAAACACGTATCTTAAATGTTTCAGGTTCGACTTTTCTTTGACATCATCTCAGGAAAAGACCAAATACCTCCATGTGCTCTATTTTGACATGTTTCCGAGAGATTTTTCTTTGTACCATTTGGACCAAGATCAATACGCCGTGGAAGCGTGGTCGGCCTGTTATCCATAGGTCCCCGGATGGAAACCCGGCTCCGATATGTTATCCCAATACATAGGCCCTTCGTTTGGCCATCAAAATGAGTCTACCCTCTAGTGTTCAGGTCTCGTAAAATGGACACCTTGATACTCATTTATTTTGCTTTCTCACCAATACATGGGCTCTTGGTAGGGTTGTCAAAAAAGCCCGGCCCAAAAATTTGAGGCCTTTTCGGTTAGGGTCTACTCCAATTTGGGTAATAGCTCTAAAAGTTGGGTATTCTCCTAGTTTCGGTTAGGATCGGGCCGGGTCGGGCTTTTTTGACAGCCCTGGACCATATGTTCTTTCATGTAGATAATTTCTTAAGAGAACCCGACAAAAATTATTTAGACAGCAACATTGCAACCGCATTATTAGAAACTCGAAACATTATATAAGCAAACTGAGAAAAAAGATGGGTGAGTAGAAAAGAAATAAACGAAAGCAGATGAGGACGATCTCTTGCTGCCATGGCCATTTCTCTCAAACCCAGGAGGAAAGTTTCATCTGAGAGCTTGTGGTCTCTCTCGCTCATTTACAATTTATATCTCATTCTCAGATATACAACAACTAATACCTTAATGATAGCTCATCAACAAAAAATCAATATAATTAGAAAAGAAAAAAGAAAAGAAAAAATCCTTCGCTGGTTGTTTTTACTTTTCATCACAGTCCTCACCACGGCACAAAGCAGCACAATGGTTATCAAGAGCGCAATTCTGATTTTGACACGTATTGCTGGAGGCTTCGTTTACTTCAATTTCTTTTCCTTTCCTTCTGATTGAAAAGTAGTACCAATCTCTTGTGAATCCTCTTTCCTCAAAGGAGTTTTCACGGTAACATGAGATTTTAATTATTTGCTTTTGAATGGAGATGTAATCTCAACACAAACCTCACCGGCAATTGGGCACGGGACAGCCGCCGCCTAGGCCACCACGCAATCACCGTTTGTCATTCTAGTGAACCTTGGCCTTCAACCCAAAGATGGAGTTTCCGAGCACTAGTCCCACCGCAGCCTACATGGAATGGGCACTCTATGTAGATGTTTCGATTCCATAATTCACGAAGAAAACAACTTGTTTTGGAATGCCATTCTGTTAAGAGAATAGTTGATTTAGCAGGAATTGAGGAGAGAGGAGGGGAAAGAAGGAAGAGAGGTAAGAACAGAATTGTAATTGCTTACTCTTTAGTGTAATCTAATGGCCCTTCAAATAGCCGAGTACACATATGGATATCAATTATAAATGGAAACTAATTAATGGCTATCCTTATAGATAGGAACTAATTGATGGCTATCCTTATTAATGCTGATTACTATACTCGTCATAAATGGCATGCGATTCTCCTTAGCCTTGTTTAGCCTTGTCCTCAAGTCGAATATTATCCAAGAGGTGCTCATCCTCCCAACTGGAGTCGTAGGGCACGAGGTCCTGCCATTGAACTAACACTTGTGAGACCGACTTAGAATCCTTCATAATAACTCGTTGACCCAAAATTGCTAGTGGCTTGTGAATGGGTTGGTGATCAACAACTGCCTCTGGGAGTGGGTGCACTCCAGTGGAGTGTGAAGCCATATACGGTTTGAGTAGTGAACAATGAAAAACTGGGTGTATACGACTGAAAGCTGGCAAAGAAAGTCGATAAGCCACTTGTCCCAGGCGTTCCGCCACAGGGAACGGATCATAGTAGCGAAGTCCAAGTTTGTGGGCTAAGTCTTTGCGAGCTGACAGCTGGCGATAAGGATGAAGACGAAGAAGCACCATGTCGCCTAGTTTGAAAGAAATATCAGTGCAGTGCTTATCTGCTTAGGTTTTCATGACCGCCTGAGCTTTGGATAAATTGGCACGTAACTGAGACAAGATTATATCACGTGAGTGCAAGTCATGATCGACTGCTTCGACAGCACTGGTGCTTGCACAATAGGCCAAGAGGGAGGGAGGTTTTCTGCCGAATGTCACCTCGAAGGGCGTCATACCCGTAGAAGCCTGGAACGTGGTGTTGTAGTGGTACTCTGCCCAGCTAAGCATCTTGGACCACTTGGAGGGTGGATCATGAACAAATGAACGAAGGAACTGTTCAATGCAGCGATTGACACACTCCATTTGTCTGTTCGATTGCGGGTGGTAAGCGGATGAGAAGTGCAGCTTTGTTCCCTGGAGTTTAAACAACTCCTTCCAAAAGGCACTCTGAAAAATGGGGTCACAGTTGGAAATAATGGAGTGAGGTATGCCGTGTAGCTTTCCCACTGTAGTCCAGAAAACTTGGGCCACCTTGGTGGCAGTGTAACGTGGTGGCAAAGAAGCGAGGTGGGGCCCCTTGGTAAAACGATCAACGACCACTAATATGGCCGCATACCCAGCAGATGGTGGTAAATGTGTGATGAAATCCATAGAGAGATCGGTCCATAATGAGTCGGGTGGAGCAATGGGTTGAAGTAACCCGTAGGGGTGATGGTTGGTGGGTTTGCACTTTTGGCAAACATCGCATGCTTGGACGAACTTGGATATGTCCTTGCGCATGCCGTCCCACTAAAAATGCGCAAAGATGCGTTGTAAGGTCCGTTGTACCCCAGAGTGACCACCATGTATGCTGGAGTGATAATCTGATAGAAGGAAGGGCACAAGGGAGGAGTCCGCCGACAAGAACTGGCAGCCACGGTGACGGAGCAAACCTGATGAGTAAGACCACCCGGGCTAGGAGTCAGGTGCACGCTGGAGGTCGTCAATGATGCTCTTTGTACGCTGGTTTAGCAGCAACTCAGCATGAAGGGTGTCAAGGTCAGTATTCACGGGACGGGATAATGTCAAAAGTGCACTCTCCTGGTTATCGAAATCATAAACCCTTGACAGGGCATTTGCCACTGCGTTTTTCTTGCCCGGCTTGTACTCGATAGAGTAGTCAAAGCCGACTAATTTCGAGAGGAACTGCTGTTGTTCTGGTGTCTGGATGGTTTGCTTAAGAAGATGGTGCAGCGGCCTATGATCGGTCCGTATAATGAAGTGAGTGCCGAGCAAATATTGACGCCACTTCTGAACGGCGGATTGTATTGCGAACAACTCATGCACATAAGTTGACTTGCTGCGCATGATGGGAGAAAGTTTGCGACTGTAGAAGGCCAACGGGTGTTCAGCCTGCATCAATACTGCGCTAATTCCTACGCCACTGGCATCAGTCTCCCCAACAAAAGGAATGCAAAAAATCAGGTAGTGCCAATACCGGGACATGACTCAAAGCTTCCTTGAGGGAGTTGAAGGCGTGCTCGGCTTGTGCGCACCATGTGAATCCGCCCTTGGTGAGGAGGTCCGTGAGGGGGGTGGCTAACGTCGCGTAGTGGCGGATGAAACGATGATAATAGCTGGTCAACCCCAAGAAGCCGCGAACCTGCTTGGGCATTGTTAGGAGTGGCCAGCCTCGAACCGCTTCAAGCTTGGCAGGATCAGCAGAGACACCATGCGTTGAAACAATATGTCCGAGGAATTCGACAGTGGGTGTGGCGAAGCTGCACTTCGAGTGTTTGATTGCCAGGTGGTGGTGGCGCAGAGTGGCAAATACTTGTTGGAGATGATCAAGATGAAAGGCCAAATCCTTGCTATAAACAAGAATATCGTCGAAGAATATAACAACGAAACGACGAAGAAACGGTCGGAATACCTCATTCATTAACACCTGAAAGGTGGATGGTGCGTTGGTGAGTCCAAAGGGCATTACCAGGAACTTGAAGTGGCCATGGTGAGTCCTAAAGGCTGTTTTGTGAATGTCGGAGGGATCCATCCGAATCTGATGATATCCGGAGCGCAAATCCAATTTGGAGAAAATGACAGCGCCGTGCAATTCGTCCAATAGCTCATCAACCATTGGAATGGAGAATCGATCTCGAATAGTGGCGGCATTAAGCTCTCTGTAATCAATGCAGAAGCGCCAAGAGCCGTCCTTCTTTTAGACCAGGAGGATCGGCGAACTGAAGGCCGAGCGACTAGGGCGAATGATTCCATCCCGGAGGAGTTCCGTGACTAGGCGTTCAATCTCATGTTTTTGGTAGTGTGGATAACGGTAAGGTCGGACATTGACCGCCTCGGTGCCCATTTTGAGGGGAATGCGGTGGTCGACATCACGCGCCGGTGGAAGGCCGGTTGGTTGGGCAAATAGGTCGTCGTACTCCGCAAGAAGGGTTTATACTGACAGCGGAATGTCAGCATTCACGTCTGTTGGAGGTTGGTCTGATGAAGAGGCGGATAAGCACATGTAGCCTACGCTTATGCTTTCAGCAGCCATGAGTTTGAAAAGGCCTGAGGATGAGATCAAGAGTGCGCGCAGAGAGGGGTCACCTTGCAGCAGCATTGGTTAGCCATGGTGCTGGAATTCATTTGTCATGTTGGCGTGGTTTGTTACGACTGGCCCCAAAGTTTCTAGCCATTGGACGTCCAAAACAATATCAGTGCCCTGTAGGTCAAGAATAAACTGGTCCATGGTAAATAAATGGGTCTGAAGCAGTACGGGCACATCGCGACATATGACCATGCATCGTAGGGTATCACCATTGCCTACCAACACCTGGAAGGGAGTGATCGGCGACAGCGGCGGAGCAAGGAACTTGGACATGCGCGTAGAGAGGAAGTTATGTGTGTTGACGAGCTGTCAATTAGCGTCCTAATAGGAGAAGTTTGCCTTATTTGGTTTTTTCCTATTCTTATCTCCTGACTTGTAGGGCAATTAGGGTTGTCCTCCTCTGCATATA